ATACATATGTACATATACATATATGTAGATATGTGTACATGTTTATTTTGCAATGCACAATATATACGTATATACATATATATATATATATATATGTTTACATGTACAAAAAAGTGGTAATACTTCTGCGTGCATGCAAGAGACAGGAACCTTTTTAGATGCATCTAAACAAACGATGAACACGTGCCTGTACATGTGCGCACACATGTACAAACCACATACTCTCACCTATACGACAAGATATCCAGGGAGCAGGACAACGCAACCGAGGCTTCCAGGGAGCTCTACAGAGGAGACATGTGCAACAAGCAGATCAGATTACAACATTGTGTAAGACCTGTATATATATATATATAGATGTCGAGAAGCAAATGCACATTATCATGAATGTGTCCATGTCAGCGTGCTGTGCTTCACATGTGTGTGTGAACCTACTTAGCCGGGCCGCCAAACAGTTGAGCAGGAGCTCTGTGCGGGCAGTCATGGCCGTGCTTCAGCAGGCCCGAATTGAGCTGCACATCAGGCAGCAGTCTACACGGCTTCCAAATCAATAGACATCTTTAGATCCCTGAATTAAGCTAGGGAGCCCTTAAAAAGAAGCCCTTCTAATTCGTTCGGGGGTATTAAATTCTGGGTACGGCTCAGGATTTCGAAGCCAATTAAGACCTTGAGTTTCGACTGTTGTCGGGTTGAGGCCTCTTTAGAGTTGGGGTATATATATATATATATAAGGGATTGTAGAGGTGCTCATATTGTATATATATACATATATATATAGAGGGTTTGTATATATATATATATATCGTGGGTTTGCATGTATAGGTCTTATGTAGGGGATTAGCAGGGGCTTAGGAGTATATATACATATATATACATACATATATATATATATGGTTTATAGGCTTTGGTTCCGTTCCGCGCTTTTCTGCTGGAAGATAAGAGACATCCACCGGAGGGTTTGGGCAGTCTCGCGGGTCTAGAGGACATACACATGTCTAGATATAATCTCCTATGGACATGCAGGAGTTAGTTTCTACTTCGGAACAGATATATAGAAATACACACCCTATATATATAAACTCTATAATAAGCCCTATATATATATATATAATAAACCCTATATATATATATAATAAACCCTATATATATATATATATATCTAAGCCCTCTATATATATATAAACCCTATATATATATATATATCCCTTATAATTCAGGGACAGCTAGGACCTGGAAGCCAATTAATGAAAGGGAATGAACTAAGTCGTGCCCTTCTACAGATGGCTGGGAAGGTGCGGTTTCCACTCCTTAGGAACCTTCAGCTGTCGTGATCCACGGCAGTAGCGGACAACATCCATTAGATCACAGTCATGCCACAAATCTGACCACTCGAAGTCTTTCTCGTTCCACAGCTGGATCAGGGGCTTCTCGGACACCTGAGCTTGTAGGCAATTTGGGGTTACATGGGGTAAATATGGGGTTTTCAATAAATAAATAAATAAATAAATATATATATATATATATATATAGGGTTCTACGGTTTCTTACATATATATATAGAGGGTTTAAATGGGTTTAGAGTTATATATATATATATATAGAGGGTTTATATATATAGAGGGTTTTTTGGGTTTAAGTAGATGTACAAAGCTGTAACTATCAAGGACCTGAAATCCTCAGACTCAGCCTGGCAAGCCTTGCCCGAGGGTCCCTAATTTAAGTACCTTAAGACCAACTACTAAGTTCGGAGGGGGCTTTCTCTGACTAAGGTTCTCTAGCTAGGGTTGCTGATTGATGCCACCAAGAAGAAAACTGTTGGTTGGGGGAGCATCACAGGACCAGGAAAAGGTCGATGCACTCATGCTATTGCATGAGGTGACCCCGATATTGGGATTGCGCGGGGCCTCACCGCCTCTGGTATCTCAGTTACGGACGAGGACGTGGAGGACATCGTCAGCTTGGATTCCGGGCACTTGGAGAGAGCGACGTGACCCGAGGGACAGTTTATCTGGGCGACATACGGCCCCTTATCCAAGCATCTGCGGAATGCGCCGCACTGGGGAAATTTCCTGGATTTGCTTACAAAAGCAGAAGCAATTCGGCCTGGATTCCCTCAGCAATGCCAATTTGAAAGGCATCCTGGACAACACGGACACAGCAAGATTGCCTGGGTGGAACCCTGATCATCATCATGCATAATCGAACACACGATTTACATCCTCATCTGTTGAAACCTCTACAATCATGTATATGGACGCAGGCAGCCCGAAGAACTTCTAGTTTTATAGGGTTTATTATATAGGGTTTATAGGGTTTGTATCTGTCATACCACCAATATAACCCAGACCTGAACGATGCAAGTCTGTACAACAGAAGTTTGTACATAGAAAGATAGGTTTGCTAAAAACCGGATACAATTGTAAAGCCCTTTCACCTCTACTCCCCTCTCTCGGTCTAACCCATCCAAGCTAGAAACCCTAAAAAGCCTACCTGGAGTGTGTATATATATATATATAGGGTTTCTATCTGATATGTCTCATAAATTTTCTACTTGAGGCTGCACAGTCTAAATGTTTTCGTGGTGCATCCCCTTCTGTTAGTGTAGTCTCTCTCATATAAAGACGACACCTCGAGAGCTTTGTAGGGAATGTCCCTGCAGGGTTTTGGGTTTTATAGGGGTTAATTGGGCTTATAGGGTTTTAGGTTTAAGGTTTTATAGGGTTTTAGGTTCAGGGCTTATATAGGATTTCAGGGGGTTTAGGGTTTAGGGGTTTTGGTGTTTCGAGTGCAATTGTTTTGGTTCGAGGCCGCATGTTTGTCTATATATATGTATATAAACCCTCTTATATATATATATATATAAATACCCTATAAACTATATACATATATATATAATATTGACCTTATAAACCCTATATAGAAGCCCTAATAACACCCTATATAGATATATGTAAACCCTAATTTAAAACCTCTCAAAGCATCCTGTAGACTGTCAAACCAATTTTTCTGTACATGTCTATGAACAGCCTTACAGAAGTTCCTTGGCAAAGAACTTATAAAGCCACAGAGTCGATAAGCCCAGTGCCAGGTTGCTCGAAGAGTTGCACACGAGAGCGCCAAGCAAGGTGGCTGGGATTCAGTGTGTGTCAACTATAAAAAAAGTTTTAGTTGTCACGGTGGGATTGGTACATTTCAAGACAGGGTTCCTCATATACACATATTTATATGAAAGGTTTACCATGATGCACATATACATATGAACATCTTAATTTCTACGGGGTCTGGCACTTCTTGGCAGTATGGTACTTGTCAGAAAAAGAAACCTGATGTAGAAGTCTGTGTAGACAACAGCTAAATAGAACTAGGCTAGAAAGGCACCGACTTATATATGTTGCCCTGTAATTTTATATATAATAACCCCATCCAGTCGAATAGTCCAATTCCTTTATAGGTTCCTCTCAACCTTATATATAAACCGATAGCAGCAATTCCTTTACAAAATATGTATGTATAATCACGAGAAGCCCGGCACCGTATTTAGCCAGTTTCCCGACCCAATTAAGACTTATAAGGCCAGATGTTGCAACAGACCCGACCTTTATAAGCCCTGCTCGGTCCTAGCTCATTCCAGATATAGCCTTGAACTTATACATATCTACGTACAGCAGACTTGTTCTATGTCCTATATTTGCATGCATGGGGCTTCTATATATATAAGGTTTCATGGGTTTCTTTATAGGCTCCGTGTCATTTTCAGCAACTTTCCAAACCCCCACCCCTATAAAGGCCCTGCGAAATTTCAAATTAAGCTACACTGTGTCCTTTACATTTGGCCTTGGCAGGTACCTCTACACAAGACCCATATTATTAATATCCATGGATATATCTACAGACATATTTATGCACTTCGGGGCTCTGTAGAATTAAAGGAAGTCTGCTTCCTTTTTGCACATAGACCCTACAAATGTACTTTTATAGGTTTATCTATTTATTTATTAATTCACAAGTATATAAAGATATATAGAATAGTAGTTTTGATAGACATACGACAAGCCGACTTAATTCCCATCCTACCAACATGGCAAGACCATCCACATAGCCTTTATATAGAAACTACGTAAAAAATATATATATATATATATATACATACAGATACAGAGGGAGAGAGACTGTCTAGACCTGAACACAAGTGAAACCAAGACGACACCTCGATAGCTTTGTAAGGAATGTCCCCTAAATATATATATATATATAAACCCTATATATCTATATCTACACCTAATAAACCCTATATATATATATATATACATATATATACATCTACACCCTATATAACTAAACCCTATAAACCTCTCAAAGCATCCTGCAGTATATCTACATAGAGAGAGAGAGAACTAAATTTGCAGTTGGGTCTCCGTGAACTCGATTGGCCGATTGGCATACATCTCCGGGAGCAGCTGGGCAAAGTGCCGCGCATAGCAGAAGGTGTACTCCCTAGGAGAGGACAGATGGAGTTTTGCTAACAAGGTTGTGTGCAGTAAATGTGTCTTCATGATTACCAACACTATGAACTTAGCGAAGGAGCTGCGTTGGCTTTAACTTGTCGTTCGCCGTCCAACATTCCTTGCCGTTCTGAGTAGTCCTCGTTACCGTCTTTACACTGTTCGCTTTCTCCTCCTCAGTCAGAGGCCCCAGATCAAGTCGGTAGATGAGATCAGAGCTTGACCACAGCCACGTTCGCTTCCAGGTGAAGGACTGAAACTTTCTCATCCACATGGATACTTTGTAGGTCTTAGCTAAGCAGGCAATACAACAGAGGCAACTCGATGCTAGCCCATGCACACACATGCATATACTGGGTTGCACACAACAGACCATTGCTGAAAGGACACAGTGACACCACAGGCCAGCAGTGTACGTAGGAATTGAACATAGCGGTTATGCAAGGCTATCAGGGAACCCTGGGGGTTCTCCAGAACATAGTGGCCACCAGCTGCGATGACCAAGTACATGAGGATTGTACTCCTGTGGGAGGAATGCAAAGCGGTTTGTGCTAAAGCAATTTTTCCCTATAGAGGTGCACTAGCGATCGATGTTTCTTTCAGTGGCACACCTAGCTGGTCTGCTACTATTGTCCACACTATCAGTTAACTTGAACTCGACGTGGCCTTGCCATGAGCTTGTTTCCCCGGCGAACACCAACCACAGATTCATCACCGTGAGGGCACAAGAAGGAACGCTTGGAAGTCCCACGATTGATCGGGACAAAGCTCGAACAAACAACGCCAAAGGCCGCCACGAGCTGGTCCAGCTTCGATCGCAAAACCAGGGATATGGCGATCCTTGGCTGAGCACCAATCTATATCTATATATAGGGCTTATACGTGTATATGCAGGGTGTATATAAGTATATGCATACATGTATATGTATATTTGTGTACACATATACATACAGGGCTTAGTTCCACATGCTGCTATATACTTATAATATGTGTCTGTATACATCTAAATCGTGTGTAACGAAATTCTTGTAGATGGAGGTGCCTAGCTGTTGCGAAGCCCCCGAAGCGAATTGTCCAACAGGGACAATACAGGACATATTTATCTGCTCGACAAGTATCACCATCCCCGCATTGGAGTTCAGGTCCATGCAAGATCTTTTACCCTTTCTTGAAGCACGCTTGTCCCCGTAGCTCTTGTCGAAAGCTTGAACACGGAAGCCTGCTCCTTCAGCCATCAAAGCCAATCGAGCTTTCCCCGAAAAGTAATCCAAGAATTGGATTCCTGAGTCCGGGGAGATGTCCAGCCACCAAGCAGGACCAGGAAGATGATCACCTGGATGGCACGTGATCGTTGCAGAGCAATTCTCAGGTTTTATTTTATCGAAGCTTACAAATGCACATGTATACATATAGAGAGAGGCGTACACACAGGAGTATAAGACTTCACAGAGTATCATGCTTGGTCTTCCAGTCTTCCATGTACTGAACACTCAAGCAGACTGAAGAAGCAAGCTTTGCACAACAGGTGTGTACGGACAAGTATACGTACACATCTATAAACTCGCTGATACAGACACACACAGACACACACACACGCTCGCACGTATATATGTGTATATACATGTAAAGACACACACGAATCTAACACACACAGACACAACAACATAAGAGACACATATATATATATATACATATACATACGTACTCAGATATGTAGTCGTGTTTATCAGACCGACCTGTGTCCATCAATCACTATATATCTAAACATATATACACATAGCACACGACTCCACCTTAGTGACTTGCCAAATAAGCCTTGGGACCTTCGGCGCTCCTAGGCTGAAGAGGCGGCGAAGAAAGACATCGAACTCTGCTGGGGACATGACAGCAAGAGCTCCGCAAAGAGGCTTTGTTGGGATATGCATAGTAAGTCATTCTACTTTGACAAATCTATCCATCAGGACGCGTCCCTGCCAGTGGTGTCAATGTATGAATACATATATCGATGAGTACATGTATCTATATAGATACATGCATACATATACACATATAAGTGTACACATGCGTGTCTTTACAAGTACATGTATACAAGTTTTCAATGGTGCACACGTATACAAGTGCATGTGTATATATGTATGTATATATATATATGCAAACAAGGTGTATATATATCTACACATTAACAGATATATTTGTGCTATGTGTACATAGATATGGAAAGTATATACTTATAGGTGTATATATATATATACACCTATATATATATATATACATATATATATATACACATATAGATACATATATATATATATACATAAATATACATATATATATACACATTTATGTATATGTTTATGTATGTAGGACAGCATAGTTTACACATGTGCACGTACATTTACATATGTAAATATATATATATATATATGTGTGTGTGTGTGTACATAGCATCTTTGTTATTGAAGATGACCGGCATAGGCTTTGCATTGTGTTCCGCCTGGGGCTTCGCTGTACTCGAAATGATTGCAGACGGTTGTTGCAAGGTCACACACGTACATCGGGATCGGGTGGCTGGTAACCAAACGAAACGAATCTAAAAGCTCCCAACACAGCCTTCGTGAGTAAGCCCAGAAGCAACTGCATATGAAACTCATTATTAACCACATCTGCATATACATATATATAGGCATCTCTAGATATCTATACATGTATACACTACAAGTAAGTCCAGCTTATACAAACAATTGAAACCCAAACACAAAACCTCAACGAGACCCTCGACACAGAAGCCCACGAAGACAGCAAGGGTTTATATGTACATTTGTAGGGTTGGTATGTAATGGTATGTATATATGTATATATATAAGGGTGTGTTTATATATGTATTATATATATATAAATACTTATCAAATTAAGGGGTTCATAAGGTTCGAGACTTCGACCAAGCTTTAAATTGGCCTTATATAAACCCACTACTGGAGAACCCCGGAAAATATATATATGTACCCTGTATGTACGCCTTATATATAGACCCGTATAAAGCATAGGTAACCCTATAAACCCTATAAAACCGGAAAACATGCTAACTCCTATAATATATACAAGCCCCGTGGTTTGTCAAAGACTTGTTGCTCGAGGCTTTGCATGAGGCCTGAATGGGGCTGAAGGCTTGCCTGGTTATGGCTTCAAGAGCTTTTTTGCTATGGGGTCTATAGGGTTTTACGTTTATAGGACTAAATTGGGGTTTGTAAGGGTTTATGAAGGCTTGTAATATGGGCTTTTATAGGATTTAGAGGGCTTAATTAAAGGGTCCAAGGTTTATATGTAGTTCCCCATGCATGTCCAATCCTGAACACGAAGCAGCACAAGGTCCTCGAGGCAACACGAACACAGCCAGGGTATGTTGCGATTTAGACAGGTTGAAAGGAAGGCGCAGCCACAACTCGACCCCACTCCCCATCCCCCTTAAAATCTACCCAGTAGAAAAAAGATTTTTAGATATCAACACATCCAACCGAGGCTTCACTGCAGGGGGCACTGTCATCCGGCCCTATGCCGAACTTCCAGAGATTCACGCTGCCGCGCGGCATTCGAAAGCCTGTGGCGCAGGAGGCAGCTGGCACTATGTAGGGGTTATTGGTTTGAACAATGCATAGAGGCATCAGCTGTCGATAAGTCTGCATACGACATGGAATCCATCCGTGCGAGCTGAGCACTGCATGACCTCATGATATCCGACTTCTTTTCACTCCACTCGTGTCAGATGCATGTAGACACTTGGGTGAAAGTTTCGAGCCCCTCATGTCTGCATATGTGCTCTCAGGAGCACACAGACCTATCACACGGGAACACACGGCTTCACATGTTATCACAGAAAAGCCAGCTAAAGTTGCGCATTGCACACGCTCCAAAAGGAAAGATTCGTGGCTACAAGATGCAGCTCATCCTCGTGAAAACAGCCTGCACTTTTACCCTATTAGAGTTTATATATATATATATAGGGTTTATAGGGTTTATAGGGGGATTATATAGGGTTTAAGGGGGTTTATATATAAGGGTCTAATAAGGGTTTACATATATATATATATATATATAGGGTTTCGGGAGTTAATAGGGTTTATATATATGTTTACATATATATATATATAGGGTTTTATAGGGGGTTCATATATAGAAGAGTAGCTGCAAAATGCAGCTCGGCTTGATCAAAACTGCCTGCACTCAGCAATCGTTGTGGTTGCTCGGGGCATTCGTAGACGTGGCTACTAGAGGGCTCCCAGCGCGATACTCATAAACTTTGGCACCCTGGGTCGCAGCTGGTCCTCGTACTCAGCCATGCTCCTCACGACATCACCATCATCGTTGTGGAACATACGCGAGGCGAGGTTCCACCAAGGCTCCTGCACCAGGGACAGATCAGCTTTATAGAGGGTTTATGTGAAAATTGGGCTTATGAGGTTTATACGTATATCGGGTATATATATATATATATGCTACCCCCCCCCCTCAAGGATCCACCGTTTTCGTGTGT